CATTCAGTGGAGATCATGAATGTTCAATACATGATTTTTGCAGCCAGTTTGCATACATATCTCTCTGCATTCTTGATGACTTCCTTTGGATGGCATCCCAGAAGTGGAATTACTGGGTAGAGTGTGCCATCCCTTTTTAGGCTCTTTTCCCCTCCCCCCACTACTCCCTTTTAAGGGTCTTGATGAACTTGGCCAAACTGCTTTTCAAGAGGATTACATTCTCACAAAGTGTCCATGACTTGCCTCTTTTCCTGAAAGTTTGCCTGCTCTGGGAAGGATCATTAAAAATAACATTAAAATATTTCTTATTTTGACAAGCCAAATACTACCGAACGTACTTTTGGCACAATTTCCCTTAAAGAGTGGTTTTCTTTTCACAGATTTGTTACAGGTACAGGCAAGATGCAAGCTGATTTGGCTAAAGGCTGACAGTGGAGATGGCAGGGAGTGGAGATGGTTGACAGCTGCTCTCCAAAGGGCATTGTTGTTTGTGTATAGCAGGGAAAGGATCTGGGCCCCGAGTCCCTGCTGCCTTCAACTGTGTTACAAATAGCCCTGGTTCCAGTGTGGACACATTCACAGAAACAGATTGGATTAAGGAGATGGAGAGAAATGGCAGGAACAATGGAAAGGTAGCAGTAATGTTTCTACCCAATTAACCCTGCCCTAGAGTATACCTCCTACAGGAGACCTGAATCCTCTTGTAATGCCAGCTCAGTTTCCATGTGTTTCTCATAGTTAGGGCCATCTTGTCACACAGATAATGCTTTGTCATTCTGAGATGTGTATTTTGTTTTGCACAGCACAATCCTGACATGCAAGCCAACCACTGTACATGGTGACATGGTGCTGAATTAATTTTTGCTCCTTGAGCTCAGGTTTAAAAATCATAAAATAAAATAAAACCCCTTGAGTCAGCAAGATGACTCAGAAGGTAAAGGCTCCTGTTACCAAGCCTGACAACCCAAGTTTGACCCTGAAGAATCCATATGGTAGAAAGAAAGAATTGCCATCAACACGAATGCTGTGGTATACACACACACACACACACACACACACACACACACACACACACACACACCAGCACCACCACCACTGCTACCACCACACCTCCCCACTCAACACCATACCACAGGACTAATTAATAAATGTTTTTTAAATTTTTTTTTTACTATTTTTATACTTATAACAAAGCTACAAAAGCTACAAAATAGTATGTGGAATCCATTTATACTCTTCATTGAGGTACTTCATATATTAACACACCTCTTAACCAAAATCTTTACTGATATTCAAAAACTAATATTGGTAACAATCCTATTTATTGGCCTATAGACCTTATTTGAATTCTATCAGTTGTCTTACAGAAAAGGAGATGTGTACCCTAGAGGGGTGGAGTTGGATTGGCATGATCAGTTAAGCCTTAGCCTCGGTGTTACTCGCAGTTGGCTTGGCCAGCACAGCACAGCCCTTGTGTTCTCCTTAGACATAAACAATTTCTCAGATTGGCAGCATCAAACAAGGGCCCTCTTTGACTAAGATGGATCAAGACAAAACAAGGCCACTCTGTACTCACATATTAATACAAGCAACAACATGAACATTGTGCAGACAGAATGATCAAGCATCTCTTGCCCTGACCTTGACCATGAAGAAGCTAAATGAAGGCTGCCGTTTTCCTAATGGAGCTCCAGGCACGGTCCATCTTTCCTAGCCTGTACTGTGAATGTATTGAGATATATAATCATATAATTTCTTGCAATTCCTCATAGCATCCAGTTTAGAATATTTAAAGTGAGCAGGCATATAAATGCACAAAAACCAGCATCCTATAAATGCCTGTGATGCTTTCCCTCATTTGAGTTCATAGAGCCCTTCTGTACAGAGTATGGTGACCTGTTGTACGGATGTACTGTAGTCCTGTGTACCACCTTTATGGTGTTTCCAAAATTGTGATATTATAGAGCATAATTGTTTATCACAAATGTGTTTATTACTTAATTGCAATCAATAACATTCCTGCAAACAATAACTTTGATATATCAATTTTTGCACTAAGATCCAAAGGGGTACATGTCTGCTCCCAGCGCCAATTTTCCCTTGGGGTTGCCATGCTGGCTTTAGGGGCACAGTCCAGGCCTGAAGCCATTCTTTGTTCATCTGAATAGAACAAGGGTGTACTTGTCTCCTTACTGTCTCTTCAAAGAACTCTAATGCGTGGATCACTGACATAGCATTCCTTTGCTAGGCATGCCTCCAACTTGCTTTCTTGGAGAGCTGTTGTATCTGGAATGGTGTTGTCTCCTGCTTGGGTGTCAAGTTTGAAAGTCCTTTAAGAGCTGCAAGCTGATCAAGAATGTATTATGTTTTTGTGAGTTCAATTGGACCAACATACGTGAAAAGCAGGGTAAAGTGGTTGTGGAGGGACACATCACATGAACTAGCTAGGAGGCTGGTGTTCACTGGGCCAACATGTCCTCATTTCTCTTCAAATAATGAGCACAGATGGACTTGGTAAAACTCCCTGTACCATGTACTCTGGAAGATTCCCTTCTGAGCCTATTAGAGGACCAGGCTAAGAAGGGAGCTGGGAATGGAAGTTGCCCAGCTGCCTTTCATGATTGATCCAGGGTCTGGATGGGAAAAGCACCAAAAAATGGCCACAGTCAGACTGTCAGCAGCCAGAGTTGTGGGGCTCCCTGGGCAGGAATCAGGATTTCCCTCAAGAAGTTACTATGATCTTTATGGAGAATGCCTCTGTTCTTTCCCTTCAAATAGAGACCATGTTACTTAAAGGAAACAACATTTCTGAAAGAGTAAAGCTATTCATCTCTATTTTATACACATAGAAAATGAGTCCTGGAAAAGGTAAATAACATGGCAAAAAGTTGCACAGAAACAGGACAGTCATGATTTGCAAGCCAGTCCGTTCTCAGAGATCAAGACTTTCCCCAAAGACTTCAGCTCCAACAATGTATTTATGTAATACCAAAGAAAATGTTCAGACTTAGGGAATCACCTACAGGAAGAAGTCAGAAGTGGCAAGACCACAGGCAGGAAACTAAAAAACTGCCACACTTAACAACACACGGAAGCCAGCTTTCTCCTGTGCTGAGTCAGACTTGTGGGCTGGGCTGTCTTTATACCCTCCTGATCACTATGGCTGCCTGAGGCTGATCTCATAGGCTTATATTATATTTCACCCCTGTCCTACATTTGCTGCCCTTGGATATGGAGTATAAATGAGCCCTCAGCGAAAGTCAGCAACACTCAATGCCAAATGTAAGGAGAATTCCTATCTGCAGTCTACTCCCTGGGCCAGCTTCGTGAGCCTGTAAGCTACACAGTAGAGGGCCTCAGCTTATCTTTGCTGTCTCTCGTAGTTGCTTGCTGTCTCTGCTCTGTGTCCAGCCTTCCCTTGTCATGGGGAACACAGTGTTCCCCAAATCACCCCCAGACTCAGCAAGCTCCCAGCTGGATGGGCAAGCAGGACACAGATCTTCCTGAAACTACTACACTCAAACGTGGCACAAGCATGTGGACCAAAATTTCAGGGACAGGGTATACATTCTATGCTTCCCCATGCCATGACATACTTTTGTTGTACTGCGGGCTGAAATGAGGGCCCTGAGCATGCTAAGCAAGTGCTCTACCAGTGTGCTACATCATCAGGCCAAGGATTATTTTCTTTTTGCTTGCAGGAGACTGAATGAGTATTGCAGGTGGAGCTCTCTGGAAGCTGATATTCAGTAGATTCTGGAGTATGTAGTGCGTTCCTGCAGGTGCTCCAACAAATTACTATGAAGGAGGTTGTGGTGACATCTTGCTTTGTCAGTGAACTCGGGGTGGTGGCTACATCCTAGGGGCGTGGTTTCAGGTGTTCAGACATGACCCCTTATGAGGAAGAGGAAGGGCTGGCTCGCTCTCTTGGGTTGTGGTGAGAACATTGGAAAGGCAGAGACTGCATCTTCTGGAGCAGGAAGACCACAACAGTTATTTATTATTTGGGTAAGGGCTTCCCTTGGGTCTCGTGAACTCATTTAAACCCTACTTTCAGGTGGTGGTGCAAAGCAATAGAATTATATTACCGCACTGCTCTTGGGGCTCACTGGGTTGAAATTAGGGTAATATATGATTCATGTTCCTTCTGATACACAGAAGGAGCCATTCCTTGCCTTTCTCAGTTTCTGGGGACTGTTGGAGTTCCTTGGCTTATAGTTTCCCTCATTCCAATCTGTTTTTTATTTAAAATTTTTAATTTTTCTGTTTACATACCAACCCCAATTTCCCCTCCCTTCCCTTCTCCTTCCCCCATCTCCTTCCTTTCCACCCCCATCCATTCCTTGGAGGTGTAAGGCCTTCCTTGGGGAGTCAACAAAGTCTGGCATACCAAGTTGAGGTAGGACCAAACCCCTTCTCCCTTTATCAAGGCCAAGCAAGGTATCTTACCATAGGGAATGGGCTCCAAAAAGCCATTTTATGCACTAGGGACAGGTCCTGGTGCCACTGCCAGGTCTCTCCAACAGATCAAGTTACATAACTATTATCCACATTTAGAGGGTCTAGTTTGGTTCCATGCAGGTTCCCCAACTGTCAGTTCAGAGCTCGTGAGCTCGCACTAACTCAGGTCTGCTGCTTCTGGTTTTGCCCATCATGATCTTGAACCCCCTTGTTCATATGATACCTCCTCCCTGTCTTCAACTGAACTTCAGGAGTTCAGCCCTGTGCTTGGCTGTGGGTCACTGCATCTGCTTCCATCAGTTACTGGATATAGGGCCTATGGTGACAGTGAGGGTAGTCACTAATCTGATTAAAGGGGAAGACCCATTCAGACACCCTCTCTATTGCTGTTAGGAGTCTTAGCTGGGGTCATCCTTGGCAAAGGGATTCCTTCTTTCCTTCCCTCCTTCCTTCCTTCCTTCCTTCTCTCCCTCCCTCCTTCCTTCAGGTGTTTCAAGACAGGTTTTCTCTGTGTAATAGTCCTGGCTGTCTCACTATCCTCCTGGGGGCATTCAGGTAGTTTTATGCTTTGCCTTCTCCTAGGATTCAATCAAGGAGGACATATGATCTTTGTCCTGATTCAAGAGGTGTCTAGGGCTGTGCTACTTTCCGAGTCTCAGCAGCTCCATTCTTTAGAGTCCCATGTCACTAGTCTGGAGGAGATGTCTTCATTTGTTCCTCCTTCTTGCCTGCTTCACAGATATGTGGTAGACGGCTAAGAGTAGGGTGATGGTGAGTCCCATCTTTCAACTCCCCCAGGGAGTGACTCAAAGTCACTCTAGTCTTTAGTTGAGAGAGGCCAGGCCTGGCATGTGTACTGGAGAGACCTGGGGACAGTATGTATGAGGCTGTAGTCCCTTTCCTGGGTTCTGGTTGGGAGGCTGGCTAGGCACATATAACTGCAAGCAAGTCAGTAGGGAGATGGGATCGTGATAATGCACGTGGGAGATGTGGCCAGACTTCATTCTCAACAGCCAGCCAGATGATACCAGTATTAAGGCTTCTCAGGCATGACAAGCCACTTCTTGCACCAGTTTGGCCTGTCATCCTCATGGTTGTGGCTGCCAGGGGACAGTGTCTGGAGCAGTTGAAAGGCAAATCAAAAGGCCACTCAGTATAACACAAGATGGGGTTTATGTTTAAATGTATTGGATAGTCCAAGATGGGAGTCTGAGACTGATGAGGAAGGCAACAGGGAAATGAACTGGCAGGGAGGGTTTTAGCATTATCCCAGCAAATCCCTTCCTCCCTGAGTCTTTGTTTCCCTATGTGCACAGTGAAGCTTGTTAGCTGGGTGTTCTGACCTCCAGGGTGCTGATTTAGAGGTAGAAGAAAGGAGGCAGATTAAACAATCCCCAGGAATAGAGGCCTAAGTAAAGAGGCTAGGCAAAGGCCTAAGAATCCTCTATGATTGTTAAGGAGGCATGCACAGAGGCCCATGCCCATGTAGTTAAATATTTTAAAGGCACAACAGAGTTATTGTTGAGGAAAATGCATTCCATTGGTTGACGTTGACCTTGAAATAATGCTTTCTTCTTCTTTTTTTTTTTTTTTTTTAAAATAGTAACTCGTAAGGCTACATTTTGATGAAAATCCTAGGACTCCTTAGAGTCTTGTGCTGGAGCATGTGGTATGGAAGAGAGCAGGCCCTGTCCCAGGCTACAGCTACAATGAACAATGAAACCTATTTGGTGCCCCCAGGCTGCTGTGATCTGAAATCTGTCTTTGTAGCTAAGCTGCAGTCACACTGCCACAGTCTGTCCTGGCTAGCCCTGAAAACACAGGGACAATAAAACAGATCTATTTGTGGGAGATAGGGAGCTCCTTTGGTGTGTGGCTCCATCTTGGTCTGGTAGATAGCCAGACACTCTTTCTTGCATTGCTTACCTTTTGCTGGGTTCAGACTCAGAGAGGAAAGTGAGTAGGAATAAGAGTGTAAGTTCCAGGAGCCTACACCCCTGCCTTCACCCTGCCCTCTGACATATATGTTTCTGGAACATGCTTTGTGGGTCATAACTATATTCCTGGGCCCTTTATATCAGTTTTCTTTAACTTGTGAGAGCCTGGTAGAGTACAGAGAAAATGGAGGTTCAAAGACCCAGTGCTCACACCTGGGTCTTCCTATGCTCACCTCCTGACTGCCATGGTGTTCTAGCCAGTGCTACCAATTATGCAGTGTCAGAGTTTCTTTCACTAGTTTTGAGCATTTCTTAGGAAAGGAATATACTTAAATATTTAAAATTGAATTGCTTATTCCAGTTTGCCATGGACTCAATAAGGGTCTTAGAAGAGCTTGTGGATTGTCCTTTTAGGCTAGTTAGGCCTCGGCCACTCAGAATCTGTCATTATATTTGCAGTCTGGGTAGCGGTAGGCAAATCTAGGATCACAGGTTCTCAGTGGTCTCAAGATGTCCTTCATCTGGCTGGTGGCCCTTAAGACTTCCATGTCTGTGCTGGAATCCTTGCTACACAGGCTAAGGGCAGAGTCTATTTCCTTTTGCACAGGGGAGGGAAATTTTCCCTGAAGAAGTTGAGGCAGCAACTGTTGACACACCAGCACCAGGCTTTGCTTCTCAGGGACAGTGTCACAGGAGGACAGCTGGAACTGACATCCAGAAACCAGGCAGCTAAAAATGTCTTCGTTCTCTCCAGTCCTGGTAGCTGCTTGGATGCCTAGAAGAGGGATGGAAAAATGTCAGATACTATACAACCTATTCTTGTTTGGGGGATGGGGAGGGAAGTGAGGGGAAGATGGGAAGGGGATGAGAGGGGACACTGCCAATTAGAATTGCTGAGTGAAGTGGTTTAGTTTCCAAGTATTTCCCCATCACCAGAAGATTTAGGGCTCAAGAACACAATAGCCCCTTTGGAGAACAGCATTGAGTAACACTGTCCTACAATCAGGCTAAGGCCCAAGCTAGGGAAACACAATTGTCTCTATCAGAGCTGGGGTTTTACTGTAGAAATTATAATCACATTGTTACTTTCCTGTTATTACTGAATTAGGAAAGTGAGGATAGTATTAGGATTTGTTTCATTGTACACTTAGGATAGAAAGTTGGGGTGGAAAAGATGTTATCCAGAATATGTATTCAGCAGGTGTCAATGGGACCAATGTTTGCATAGCCTGAATATTCTGGTATCAACCTTTCTTCTTAATAAAGGGAAATCAGGAAGTGAAGAAAGGGTTTGCTTTCTCTCTCTCTCTCTCTTTCTCTCTCTCTCTCTCTCTCTTTGCGGCTTTTATTTATTTTTTTAAGAATGCTAGAAATGAGAAAAAAATCTTTTGTTCTATCATTGGGCTCAGCAAAATTTGTCACTTTGAGAAACTGGGACTTGATGGTTGAGCCTTTGTAAACAGTGAAAAACACGACTTGCTCATACAGCTCATTTGCTTCCATGTTTTTGTAATTTTAGAACTTTACAGAATCACTATGTTAACACTGACTACAAAGGGTACTAGTGCATCAAGGCATCAGTTATGTCTCAGATCAAGGCTCAGAGCGTCTGAGGAGAAAGGCTCTGACAGGGAGAAGGGCTAGTGAATGAGATACAGACTGCCCTGGGGGGGCATACCACCATGGACAATGTCCCTTTCAGGCAAGGCCAAGTTCCCATTCCCTTTGGAAATAAAGATGAAACAGAAATTCAAATGGGGGATGAGGGGACATTGTTCTCTGACATTCCCAAAACTTGGATTACTCTGTGACACACAGAGAGTACAAAGACCCAGGATGCTTCCTTAACTTTGGTTATCCTGACATCCCCCTTGACAGCTGCTCAGCCAAGCCCATGCTGAGTACCTTCCTGCTTGTCGATGATGCCTAGTGAACTGGCATCCCGGATGAACAGATGCCCATTGTCAAAGATGCCAAACATGTCTGCATCAACATGGGTGAAGTAGAAGAAATAGTTCAAATCATTGTTCCTCAGGGACTCCAGGACCCCGAGGAGTTGGTAGGCAAGGTCAGCGGCTTGCTCTGGAGGTGCATCGTAAAATTCTTGCAGTGGTCTGGTGCTGGTACTGATCAGGAATCTACCACAGGAGCCCAGGTACTTGGGCAGTGGCCAGCCCTCCGCCCCGGGGAAGATCTGCCAAGCCGGAAGGAGCAGGCGTTAGACACAGAGAGAAATCTCACAGAGGCAGCTTGCTTCTACCTCTGGCCCACAGCCCACACAAATAATCTTACTGCCCGCCTGGATGTCAAAACATGCTGGCAAAACATTTCTCCATCTTCTTATACCTTTTGGAACGTGGTAAGGCCCTTGACCTTCCCCCACTTTTGCAGTGTATTGCCAATGGAAGGACTCAGGAAGAAGGCTGCTCTCATTGGTATAGTGGATCAGATTTTACAAGTTTCTCCAAGTGGGACCTGAGAATGCTAACCAACTTTCAGTGATTTTTTTTTTTTTTTTTTTTTTTTTTTTTTTTTTTAGTGGTACCCAGGATTCAGGGAATATCTTTCCTTTAAGTTGTGACATTTAAAAAATATTATTAGTTTGCACTTTTGAAGATGCTATTGCTTAGAAAGAGGCCATGGGAAAAACTAATAAAAGATAAACTTCAGGGCAACTGAAAGATTAATAATAATAATACATTACAAATATGGTATCATGTGTGCCTGTAGTTCCAGGTTTTCAGGAGGGTGAGGCAGGAGGGTTGAGGCCAGTTTGGTCAACAAAACTCATGAATAAGTGAATGAGTAAAACAGAACAATGTAAGTATCTGGTTCTGGGATAGGACAAGAATAATGCAGGTGACTGTCTCCACTGCCAGGCTGAGCAAATCTATATGACTCTGGTGACTACACACTCAAAGATTCTTCTCAACTGTCGGGAAGCTTCCAGATAGACTAACACTGGTCTGGGGAGGGGTATCCCAGTCTGTCTCCTTGTAAAAGAGCTCAACTTATGCATTTATGAGATGGAAAGCAAGGAGGGAATTCTAGATGGATTTTTCTTGACAATTTTTTAAAAGGTTTTTTTTTGGTGTGTGTGTTTTTTTTTTTTTTTTTTGCACTTCATAAATGAACCCTGCATCTCCATCACTCCCACCCCTCTCCATCTCCTCTAGTTCCTCCTGTGTTTCCCTTCTTTCTCCAAATTTCATGATCTGTTTTTTATTATTGCTACATGTATATATATACATACATATATAATTTATATACATATCTAATCACACATGTGTGTACAACATACTGAGTCCATTTAGTGTTATTACTCATGTGTATGTGTGGCCAGAACTGACCATTTGGAATTGGACAATCTATGTGGGAGTTTGTCCATGGAAAGGACTGATTCTCTTTCAGTAGCCATTGGCCACCTGTATTCATCTATTTGTAGGACCATGTGGAATATTCCCAGTTCATGTTAGAATCTCAACTGTTGATCATTTTTTTTCCCCAGTGGAGCTGTGTTCAGAACTGATAATGAAGACTATAAATTCCACTTTCCTTTGTTTACATTCTTAAGAAAACAAAGTAAATCTGGGTGGTGCATCTTAGTGGCAGACTGCTTATCAGACATACACAAGGCCCCGAGTCCCATCCACAGCACTACAGAAAATTAAAACAAAGTAGACTTCAAAGTTTTCTCTCTCTCTCTGTCTCTCTCTCCACCCTCTCTCTGTTAATTTTCTGGTACCTTCTATCCCCTTTAAGTCATGTTATAAAGTATCATGCTCTTTGCAAGTTGAGCTTCCCCTAACTGGGGCACACCTTATACAGTATGTGTCTCCAAGGGACAACCTAAAATTGCTGACTTGGTTTAAAAAGCCACTTCTTGGTTCCATAACACACTCTTTCTGGATGAAGTCCAGGATTGAGTGAAGCGTCTCAGCCCCATGGTCTCAGGTCATGTCTCTCAGGAGCCAGATCTCAGGATAACCAAGGTGCCAACAAAAGTTAGAATTGTGAGGAAAAGACCTCCAAGAAGACCCTAGAGCATGTATGGCAAATAGCAGCTCCTTCTCTTCCACTAGTATGTCAAATGCCAAAGACACTGGGAAGGTTTTTGTGGGCAGAGTGAAGTTTCTGATGTCTCTGATGTCACACATCTCAGGGTTTAGGTTTCATGGCTGGCAGTGGCTAAGACACTTTTTCTTTCTGAGCCCCAGTCAGATAATAATATCATTCTGGGAAGCTTGTGGTGAGAACTAACTGACACTGATAGCAAATCTTCAGCACAACACCTGGCATGCAGCAAGAGCGAAATAACTACCAGTCTTCATTGTGTAGTTAACCATTAGCTTTTTGGCAACTATTTAGAAGCTGTCTTTGTTGTGGCTCCTTTCTTCTCAACCTATATTTTTATGTGACAGTATTTTTAAGATGGTCTCATTATACAGACTTACCACCATGCCCAGCATTCCCTCCTTTTTCCCCCTCTCCTCCCTTCTCCTTACTACTCTCTCTCCCTCTTCCTCCTCTATGACCCACACCTCAACCTTTTACTCTTCTTTCACCCCTTCTCCTCCCCTCCAACTTCTGCCGTCCTTTCTGTCCATTATATGACTTAGGTATCCTCATCCTTCACTCTTGGTCTGGGGAATTTAGCTCTACATGTTCTATGCATGTCTGTTAACATGGTTCCCCAGGCCCCAATACATCTTCATTTATTTGATCACTTTCAGTTTTTTTTTTTCTCCTTTCCAAACACAGCTTTTCTGAGTGGCTGTTTTACCAGTCCCTGAGCTTGCTCAAATGTTATTTATTTTAATGGCAGATATTGAATTTGCCTACCTTCACAAATCCCTTCCTGGATGTCTCAAATTGTAAAGTTGGCTGCAGTTGCCTGCTATCTATAGCCACAGCCCTGCATTCCCATACCTCTTTCCTCACTAACTTCCAAGGCTGTCAAATGCTTACCTGATGGTGCAAATGCACTAGTACAGATTTGTGGCCCCAGGACATGAAGCAGAAGGGGAGAAAAATCAACCCAGGGATGACTCTGAAAGCTCAAGATGGTATTATAACCTGGAGGGATTGTGGGGTCACTGAGTACCTGAAGAATGATGGGGTGTGCATTGACAGCCAGTGTGTAGAGGAGACGAAGCTTGTCACGGTCAGTGAAGTGGTCCATGAAGATACTGCCAGCATCAGCCACTTCAGCATAGCGTCGAACCACACGATCTAAGAGTCTTTGTGAAGGGCAGCGAAGAAAGGGACTGGGCAGGCCCTGAAGACAAAAGAGAGAGAGATCCAGGATGGGGAGTAGTTGCTGGACTCTGGTAAGATATTGGTTTGGGGGTTCAGGTGAATGGTGGAGGATGGATCTATGGGTGGTCAAGGATGGGATGGAAGCCCCTGGGAGGGGCACAGAGGATGGAATGCTCCTACAGGTTGGCACAGGAAATGGCATAGTGGGCTATGCAGGGATTGGGGCACTGGAGGCATGGAGGCCTGCTTTGTCTCTTTGAAATTTTTCAGCTTGCTTTTTTTTTTTTTTTTGCTTCCACACAGAAAGAATAGCATCAAAAGAGAATTAACAGTGCCAGCCATACTGCTGTCTATGTGCTTGTAGTGGAAGCTCATTTCCCATGGTTTTCTGCTTAAAGAAGAAGATTAAGGCTGTCTTTGATGGATACAGAATGTCTAATGTAGGGACTCTTTCTAAAGGGGCAGTTGGTAAAGTTAGCTCATTATCCAGACTCCCCTTGAGGATTTAGATTTGGAGATCCATCTGAGAAAGGGGGGGTCTTATGATAGAGCCATGAAGAGAGCAAAGATTCTGTGAACCAAAGTGATTGAGGACTTATGAAAGACAATTTAGAGCAAAAATTACAACACTGTTTTCTTGTAGAGCTCAAGACCTCTAAGCTTCCATATTAAATTCTAAGTCAGGGGTGGTGCTATGGTTTGACTTTGACCCTCAAATTTCATGATTGGAACTTTATTTCTCAAATTCATGTTAATGATATCTGTAGGACTTTTGAGTGGTAATTAGGATTGGATAAAGAAAGTGAAGAGGGTAGTCCCGATAATGACATTAGTGGCTTTTTAAGAAGAGAAACCCAAGCTACCATATTTGCTCTGTCTCATCATGTGATGCCTCTGCCAGCTCATGATACAGTATGAAAGCCCACACCAGATGCTAGTATCACATTCTTGGACTTTCCATCCTCAAAACCCATTAGTGAAACAAACAGCTATTCTTTAAAAATTGGGGGTGGTGGTGTTCATATATAGCAACGGAAAACAGACGGAGACAGCATCGCCACAAATACCTTTTCCAGAGAGTGGGAACACTGAGTTTTTGTTCATTGTCCTAGGGAAGCCAAACAGCTTCACCAGTTCAGGAAAATGTGGCTTTACTGAGGCACTGAAGGAAAGGCACTGGTTAGGGCAGGATGTCTTGAACCTACCTTTGCCTAGAGAGAATAGTCATTGCTTTTTCTCTCACCTCACAGGAATGAACCTTCAAAAAATCTTTTTAAGCATTCATCCTCCTGGGTTTAAGATAATTTGTATTATTAATTGCCCACAGTTGTTCTCAGTGACTTGGTGTTTCCAAACAGCAAACATTGCTCAAAAGGTAAAGATTTAGTCACATGTGAATATTTGTTCTGATGGAAATATGAATGTATGAAAGAAAAGAACATCAGTTACTCTGAGAAAGAAAATCTGAGATCAGAAGTATGACTTTTCACCCTAAAGACCAGAAGTTTAGCTTTTCTCTGTAAGGTCACCTCCGACAACAGGATTTAGAATGCTGAAAGAAATGCTCAAGAAATGAAGTTGTACTCTGAGTGAATTAGCTGTTCTCAAGCTCTATTAGCCTCCAGGAGAAAATTTTAATTCAAATAAACCTACTTCCAGTTATACACCTGAACACTTTTTACATGATTTTTCTGTTAAGTATGCTTGTAACGGAGATGAGGCTAATCATGCATCACAGTTAATCAATGGGTTACTATTAAGACAATGAAATTTAATAATTGTCTCAATTGTCATGGTTAATTAAACCTTCCTTTATTCAAAACAGGAATCTCCTTTTTTTTTTAAATCAGGATAAACAACTGACAGTTCTATGCCTACTCTGATTTTGTTCTTTTAATGAAGTTCTTTTGTGTTATTTTTTTTCTCTGAAGTGCCAACACAATAGGAAGTGTTTTTGGTGTGTCAATCACCATTCTATAAGTGTCTTCTAGCATGTTGGTGGTTTTGAAGGAACCACATGGATGATTTTAATCATGTAGAAATCCAGTAACACCCTTGTCATTCTCAGACAGGTGACTTCCTAGGCATAGATCATCTTCTTAGCTCACTGTTGCATGTACTAAGTGAGGGAGAGGAATTTGCAAGCAGACAGTCCCTAAATCATTTCAAGTTTCCTTTGAAATCTTCTTAGTAAGTTTGCTCTCTGTTACCTAGACAGATCAACCCAGATCCCTGAAATTGGGTCACTATTGCAAAGTCACCTGCAAAGGGAAATGAGCCCAAGGGAGGTGTTGAATTTAGAATTTATCTTAGAACATGTTAGAGTGGATCACATACCCAGGACATATTCATTTAACTGCAAGACTTGGTAAGACTGGTAAATAATACGGAAGGTGTAACTCAAATCACAAGTTCAGCCTCTCAAAGACTTAGTTTGTAAGACAGGTCCTCTCACTTCTTCTTGTGAAATTTTTCTTTTCTTTTTTTTCTTATTTTACATATCGATATCAGTTCTCTTTCCTTCCTTCCCTCCCTCCGTCCCTCCCTCCCTCCCTCTCATCCCCCCCCCCCAACACCCTGCCAGGATTATGCCTTCCAGGAAGGTCCTCTCATTTCTAATGCCATCTTTTCTTAGGCAGAGTTTCTGTTTGTTTAGATTGTTGGTTCTTTGCAGAGACTCTAAGTTGTTGGTTCATGAAGATGCTATGAACATACTTTAAAACTTTAGTGGTAGGGAATGGTTCAACACTTGCCGAGTTTGATGCCTGGGACCCAAATGGTGGAAGTTGTCCTCTGACTTCCAAACAGGAAACACACACGCACACATACACTCATGCCCCTCTAGTGTAAAAATGTTCATGTCCTTGTGGTCAGTGGTTCTGCTACAGTAACATAATGAAGCAACAGAGAGTATGCAATGTCTAAAGTTGTAATTTCTGGAGTCAGGAGAAAGGTCTGCATTCAAATCCAAGTTCCAAAATTTACTAGTTGTCTAAGCTTTGAACATATATCTTAGATTCCCCATCTATAAAATGAGAACAAGAGTGTCTCAGATGCCAGAAATTAACTGTCACGAATGAGTATAAGGTGGGCTTGGCCCACTTCATAGTCAGCATGTGGTAGCTTTGAAAAGGAAATATGACATAACAAGATTCAAACAAAGTCTTTGCACTAACATGCTCTTCAAAGTATATTTTGATAAGGGAAAAAATACAACATTCAACAGTAGCAAACTAAATTGTGTTGTATCAACATGATGAAATGCTGCTTAGTGTTTTAATAGGAAGGAGACTAGGATGTGATATGCAATTGAGCCATAGGGGAACATTACATATAGAACTCATCTGCAACCAAGTTAATTATGACTAGAAAAATTCTGGAAGGAAGGACTCCAGAATGTTCACAGTTGTTGCCTCCGTTATTGGTGATTGTCACCTCCCCAACTTCCTAATGTTTTGGTTCCTTGTTTTATGGTGCTGAGTATAAAACTCAGGGCTTTCTTTGCACATACTAAGCAAGCACTCTACGACTAATCTACATCTCCAACCCCGAGTTTTATAAATATATAGATAATATGATTTTTTTGTTGCTTTTTTTTTTCAGGACAGGGTTTTTCTGGGTAACAGTCCTGGCTGTCCTGGAACTCACTCTGTAGACCAGGATAGCCTCAAATTCAGAGATCTACCTGACTCTACCTCCGAAATGCTGGCATTAAAGGCATTTGCCACCATGGTGAATGATACTATGGATTTTTATCCATGGGGGATTATGGCCAGTACTACCCTATATGTATAATAAGCCCCTTATATAGAATGGCAGAGTATTTACATAAAAGATAAGCTTTACATCCTTCTGTGGATGCTAAACCATTTCTAGTGCTGTTATTGGTTTGAATTGAAAATGTTCCCCACAGGCACATGTTTTGAACATTGGCTCCTTAGGTTGTGGTGACACTTTTAAGAGATAAAACCTAGCTGGTAGGTGACTATGAGTAGGTTTTCTTGTTCCAGTCTCAAACTGTGTACTTCTTGGCCTGTCATTCTACCTCCCAGTGAATCGAGGCTGACGGTGTTGTGTAGGAGGATTGCATGGTTGGAAAATTCTTTATACTGACAGGTCTATGCAGAAATAAAGAGATCTATAAGAAGTAACTTATACTACACATATCTGATAAATAAATTGTATTCAGAACATAAATATAATTTGTATAACTTGTGAAAATCAATATTAAACACAGAAAATCCCACATAACAGACAAATGCCTTATCAAAAATCAAAGAAGCCAATACACACATGAGAACAGGCTGTACACCATAAATTATCAGAAAGTGCAAGTGAGACCATGTGAGATACTACTAGACACCCACTAAAATACCTGAAGTTCACAATTAATAATAGTGAGCTGATGAAGATAGGAAAGAGAAGTCAGTACCCTCTCTTCCATTGCATATAAGTAGAAGCATATATTGCACACTGCATATAGGAAAACTAATTGGTAGTTTGTTCAGAAATATGTCCATATATAATGATATGACCTTGGAAATTCACTTTGACATGCTTAAGCTCATCTGTAGGCACATATAAGAATGCTGACACCAATCATCGTGAATGAGATAACCCAGATCAAGAAAGACAAACATGGTATGTTCTCACTTATAAGTAGATATTAGCTGTAAAATAAAGGATAACCATGCTACAATCCACAGTCCCAGAGAGGCTAGGTAACAAGGAGAGTTCAAGGCCCAGGGGAGGTAGGACATCTAGATCTCTCTGGAAAGGGGAAATAAAAGAGACTTTTTAAGTGGATTGAGGGCTGGTTGGGATGGGAACATGAGCAATCGGGTTGGGGGGCATTACATGAGACTACTGGAAATGGGGACATTTCTGGGTCAGATACAAATCTGGTGCAAGGGAATCTCCCAGGAATTTACAAGGAGGACCCTAGCCAAGACTCTTAGCACTAGCAGCTATGTAGCTTGATCATCTCCTGTAACCACATTGGTACTCAGCTCAATTGTT